GCTTCAGACTAGGAAAAACTTAGGTCAAGTGAAGAAAAATGTAATTAAGGATGGTGCCACCTGGCAGCTTTTAGAAGGACTCTATGGATAATTCAGGGTTATGTTGAGGTCTGGATTTGTAGCCAAATCAGTGACGACTGCAGGACAGACAAACCCAATCCAGAAGGCTTGGTACTAGCAAAAGCAAGGACAGATAAGAATGTAGCTTGCACAAGCAAACCCAACTCCTGGATAAAAGGCTGGTTGATCAGCCTGGGTTGACCTCTGTGACAAAGGCAAGCTGGATAGCTGAGTACTGATAGCACCTTATCAACTGAACAGAGTAACCACTGGCATCTAGTTATGAAACTTAGTTGTTTCCCTATGAATGTGAATAAAAAGTGCAGAATAATAGTTCCATCTTTCTGTTTCAAGTATAAACCAGTAACAGCAAACACTGTCTTGCAGTACCTGACAAAGCAAGTGGAGCTCTTACGTCAGATGAACGATCAGCACGCGAAAGTCTATGAACAGCTGGATGTGACAGCAAGGGAGCTCGAGGACACTAATCAAAAACTAGTTGCAGAAAGTAGAGCTTCACAACAAAAGATACTCAGGTAACAAACTTCTAGAAGATCCTGCCCCTCCAGTTGATAATACAAAAAGAGCAGTCCAAGTGTATTTGTGTGGTTACTGGGTGGCTGTGTAGTGGTGTACTACAGTACTGTTAAATTGAATGGATGGCTTGGTTTAAAACCATCTTTTGGGGTCAAAGAGCAGAGAAGAAACTACAAAATGAGTGGGTGGGAAATTCCCATGTCCTTGACTAAACACTCAAATGTTTTAACAGCAGTCATTCACTATTTAGCTTGACAGAGACTATTGAAAATCTGCAAACACACATGGATGACCTACAGCAACAAGTAGAAGAACTGAAGAAGCAGGGGCGAGGCCGGATGAGCCACGAGAGGTCTGACCAGCCAAGATCAATGCACAGTTTCTCATGTTTGAAGGAGCTTTACGACCTTCGCCAGTAAGACTTTCTACCTTGCATAGCAAAGACAATACTGAAATTACTTCAAGGAAAGCTTTTAAAACTAAGTCACAAGCACAGATGTCAAACAAACGAACAGAAAATCATTTAATATTCACAATTGGCAGAATATCTGCACTGTGTGGTGTTGCCACAGCTTCTGGCATACTACTAGACTGCAGTAGTCTTTGTGTGAGAGAAACTTCAGGTTTGTCTTGAAAGGTTCTCTCCCAGAGTCTCCAACCTTATCAAATTGCAGCCTTGAAAGCTTAGAGCAACTTGCACCACACTATTTTTCAGTCAGAGAAAAGCACACAAACAGATAATCTGAAAAACAAACATTCTAAACACAAAATATTTTCTGCAACTTACCCTTTCCTTGGATGTCTGTGGATATCTTCTTTTTAAGGAAGGCAGAATTCTTGCAATAGCTTTCCTGAACTTATGCTGGTTAAAATAATGCTTCAGCTGGTAAAATGGTGCCTGGACCTCTGGGCTGCTTTTTTAATTTAGAGCAGTTTTACCCAGCCGAAATGCATTAGAATGCCCATTGGGACAATCACCTGAGGTAAAAGCTCCAACTAGCTTCAGTCCTAGAAGATAACTTTTTATGTGAAGCACCTCCACAAACAGGCAGAACTGGCTTTTGTATCCAGGCTTCAGCACTACATGGAGGTAGGACTGTAGAATAAATCCATACATCCAAAAAGAAGTTATGTGTTGACAATTCAAAAGATAAGTGGATTCCCTGAAACTGCCAAAGCCTTGTGGAAATACCAGCCTGCAGAATTGTCTTGTAAATTTTGAAGCTTTTTTCCACAATCAGTAGTGATAAAAAAGTGGAATGCTGCAAAAAAAAAAATCTGAGTGCCAGAAAGTATTGGAAGATGCATAGAGGCAGTGGTTATTTAAACTTAAATTGTGTGTCTAGTTATTCAATAAGCTTGTCTGTAACTTGAAACTGTTAAGAAGCTGCCATTCTGCTGGAGCTGGAAGGTTTGATTTGATGGCTTGTAAGTATTTACAAAGTCTTCTCTGATCACTAAGGGGACTGACAGGTTAGTAGAATGACTGCTATGTATACTTTGAGGTGTGCTGGCACACAGTTTGAGGCTGTCAGTAGTTACCAAGGGCACAAAACCTTTAGGTGTGGTCAGCTCTACTTCCTCCATTCAATAATACTGATTTTTGTTTCTGCAGGTATTTTGTTTATGATCATGTGTTTGCAGAAAAGATTGCTTCGATGGATAGTCAGCTAAGTCCTCTAGAAGAAGAAAATGAGAACTTAAAAAAGGCAGTTACAGTTCTGCAAGCCCAACTTAACCTAGAAAAAGAGAGGAGGGTAACCATGGAAGAGGAATACAGTCTCATGGTAAAAGAAAACCGTGACCTTGAGCAGAGGCTTGTTGATACAGACTTATTTCGAGCTCGTGCAGAGGAGTTGGAAGTGGAAGTAGCTGAAATGCGACAAATACTTCAGTCTGAAAACACATTCCATAATGCTGATAAATTGGTGCCAGAATCCTTTTTCATTTCATTCAAGGAATCTTTAGACAGGGAGCTTGGTCAGAGCCCAGGAGATGATGGACTTCTGACTGTATCAGAATTTGAGAAGAAGGCACTGAAACGGAGCAGCAGCGACACTTTCCTAAGCAGTGCTGCAGGGGGAGACATTCTAAGGGGCCATGAAGAAACCTGTATCAGGAGAGCTGAAGCCGTGAAGCAGAGGGGAATCTCTGTACTTAATGAAGTTGATGCTCAGTATAATGCTCTGAAAGTGAAGTATGAGGAACTTCTGAAGAAGTGTCAAATGGATGAAGATTCTTTGAAACACAAGGCTGTGCAAACACTGAAGCAGTATTCCAAAGACCTAAATGTGGGGAATACCCAGTATGATCTTTCAGCTAGCAACCAAGAATTCACAAATGTGGAGCTCTGTGACTCTCCCACAAATGCTCTTCCTGAATATAAAGCACTCTTCAAGGAAATTTTTAGCTGTATCAGAAAAACAAAGGAAGAAATAGATGAACACAGAGCTAAGTACAAGTCCCTGTCCTCTCAGCCCTAACACTGGATGTGTTGACAACCTATTTCCTGTTCATGACTGATCTGTTAGTCAAGAAGGGGAAAAAACTTTATAAAAATGACAGAAGACCCCTTATACTGATGAATTTCTTGAGCACTCAAAATGAATGTTTTGAATTGGCTTGTAGACCTGTAGTTAACAAGCTAGTTAGTTAAAAGCTAGTCTCTCTTTACCTGTGTAGCAATAGATTTAATGTTGTTTAGCACTGTCACACAAACTAGTGGTTGTAAAGCAAACAAACACCATAGCTTAATACTACACTGCTACTTCATACTACTTCATACTTCATACTACTCTCTGGCCAGAGCAGTAACTGACACTAGTTTCCTTACTCCACTTCAAAAATAACAGAGAATCTGTAAGAAATCTGTACTGTGCTTCTCCCAAGAAACCAGATTACAGCTTTCCTTTGGTGTGCAGCTGATGATCTAGCCCTGTAACTACATTTGTGTAGAAAATTAAAAACAGAGCCCCTGATCAGTATCATGGGCAGCCTCTCCTTGATCCGTGAGTATGAAGTTAGCAGTCTAGCTGAAGTTGCTTTGGCAGGGAGGTGAAGAACTGGCACAGCAACCTGCTCTGTGCTTTGGTTAAGGTAATACCATGTTTTTCACATGCACTAAGCTCTGTCTTCCTACTAGAAAAGTGTTTGATGTAAAGTTTGTGTGGCTTTTTAGGTATGGTTTCTTACGTAGGGCACTTTCTCTTAAGGCAAGATACTGTGAATTGATGATGTATGTTATTTGGAACCTACTGTTCTTCGTGGAATGTCTGCAAAGTACATTTTTATGTGTATTTGGAAAGATAGAAGCTTGCAATTTAGCTGTTCAGTAGTAGCATTGACATAGTGGAATAGCTTTTAATCTTACATACCACAAACTCCAAGTGCTTGAAGGAGATGGGCTGGGTCAAACCTTATCATACTGTTTTGTCTATTGCTTCCAGTGTCAGTTTCTGTGGACTTATTCCATGCTGCCTGGAGTGGGTGGAAGGCCAGACACAACACTACCAGACCATATCCTGCTG